ACTATACCATACTGCCTCACTGCCTCTTCCCTAACACCACACACTTTCTGCCTCTCAGTATAGGCTACTACTTGGATATTCTCCCTATGAGAAACAAGTACACTAAGTTACAGATGAAAAAACTGAGGTCAAGAAAAGTTAGACTTTTCCAAGGCAGCATTGGTAGTGCGTGGGGAGCTGGGAGTTAAATCCAGTTCCCTCACACCATATTATTGTTAAGAGAGGCTACTTTGTGAGGTCTGATTCTGATTCAACATAGTGAAAAGAACTGATTTCAAAAAATTCCACATGCATCAATTCCTCTTATCATTATGGGATGTTTCATTTTTGGACACTGTGATCAAAGACAGATTAATACCTTTAGAGGTCCTAATCTCTAAAAAGAGAAGGATATCTTCCAAGCACCATCCTCTGTGGATTCAAATTAAAAACAATTATAAACAGTAAAATAAATACAACAAAGTACTAATTTTTCCATTCATGACTACTTAAAATTTTCTTTTTGAAGTCCTAACAATCAAATACTTAAAAGAATTCGTAGAAGCATTTTTTTTTTCAGTTTCCTAAGCACATGTTTAAACTGTTAAGTAATTCAGCACTTACTGTTACATATTAATTCCTGGAAAAGGTGTACAAGAGTTATAAATGTAAAGGTAAGTTGGGGACAAATGATGACGAAGAAAGTGATCAGGAAGAAGACAAAGCAAGCAAGTTAAGGTGGGGCTCTGCATTTGCAATTTACAGAAATCCACCTACCATGGGTGTAATCAACAGTCTACAGGAAATCTTTCCAAAAGCCTATGGCCTATAGTATAACTGCAGATAAATTACAGGTGACATTTAAGTACTCCTGAGAGGTCTCCAGGAAGCAGCCAACTTCAAACTTAATGTCATTCGACCTGGGAAATGCAAACATTAAGACAGTCTGGTAAAACAAAGAGGGAAGGGAGGTATTATGATGTCTAGAGCCAAAAGAAGGAAATTAATTGTTGGAGAATTTGCAAAAAAAAAAAGGAGATGGGCAGTAAGACATATTTTGTGTATCCACCATTGCCCAAGGAAGAGGGACCTCAGATTTGGGGCATGCATATTTTAGTTGGATTAGCTGGTATAATCTTATCTTGAAAGGGCCCAACTGATCCTGCTGCTGCAGCTTAATAATAATATTCTATTAAGGCTACCTGACTATCTTTGCTCAGGTTCTATGCTCATCAACTTATCAATTGACTTCCTACTACTCTGATACTGGGAATGGGGGCCCCTCTCCACCGGCTTCAATTGTCATCTAGATTGCAAATCATTCTCTTATGAATCACAGGATCTTAAAGTTGGAGGATACTTCAAAGACATTTAATTAACTGTCCATCTGGTACTGAAAGTCCCCTTATAAAATAACTGGCAAGGAGCTGTTTATTTTTCCTTAATGTCAAGTCACAGGAAACTCATTACTTCTTCATTTTTTTGAACATTGTGCTAGAAAATTCTGCTTTATGTTAAACAAAAATGTGTTACTTTAGAGCCTCCAGTCCTAGGTTGACTCCTTGGGTCCACATACAAAACAAACTAAACCTTCTCAAAAAAGAAAATACCCACAAAACAAACAAACAAACAAAAAAAACAAAAAAATGAAAACAAAACATAAATAAGCTCATGTCCCTAATCCCTAATTTTTCCTGGCCTAGTTCCCTAAATTCTCCATGGACAGGCATTAATTTCTCTTTTAAGGTGTGATCTTGGGCATGGTCAAGTATTTTGTTTTGAATTTGCAAAAGTAACATATTTTCACTACAAATGGTTAAGATAACCATCTCTTTCCATTTCTTCTTCCCCTATGTCATACTTCCCCTCACATCAAGTGATGATGGAGTGACCATGGACATTTCTAGAATAGAACCAAGGGGAAGTTGTAGTGGTGGTATGTTTAGTTTGGGTTTAGGAGAATATGTATTATGTGGTTCACTGACACTTCCATGTACAGTTAACTGATTGCTATCTGCCTTAGTATAGAAATGGCTTTCAGGAAAACTCCAACCACCCACTGTGCTAATTTCACCTAGTGTTATGACACTAAATTGCCGGTGTATTAGGCAGCTAAAGAAAGTATTATGCTATTTTTATGAGTTTTGTGATACTGAAAATATTTCTCAGCTTTTTAAAATATAAAATGTGCTATGCATTGAGATGGACCCTTACAATAGAGAAATTTTATGGTATGTAAATGATACCTCAATAAAACTGTTAAAATGTGCTATGATTTCTTATTTTAAATAAATATTCACTTTTGTGCCTAAAGTAAATTAAAATAAGGACACATAGCCAGGTATTTACAAAAAGCTACACCAAACATCGCACTTAATAGTGAAATTTTGAAAGAATCCTTTTTGAGACTGGGAATTAGATAAGGGGATCGCTATGACTACCTTTGTTCAATGTTATATTAGAAGTTCTAGTGAGTGCACTAAGCCAAGAAAAAGAAATAAAATATATAAGAATCAGGAAGGAAGAAATAAAGTCATCATTATACCAAAAAATATGACTGTGTTTGTAGAAAATCTAAAAAGCTAAATACAGAAATATTATTAGAATTAATGAGTTTAACAGCATTGCTAGTACAAAAACTGATATATAAAAACCAGTTGCATTTTAAATAATAGCCACAATTAAAAATTAAAGTAAAAGGACATAATTTATAACTATATAAAAATGTAAACTACTTAGCAGTAAATGTAACAAAGGAGGTTCAAGAGGAAGTTTAATCTAAAATTTACATGAAAGTGCAAAAGGTCAAGAAGAGCCAAAGCACTCTCGAAGAACAAGATGGGGTAACTTGCCTTATCAGATGTCAAGACTTATCATAAAACCATAGGAATTAAGGCTATGACAAGGGGAGAACTAAATAGAGTTCAAGAACAAACCTGCCTGTATATGGACATTTGATGTACAATAGAACTGACATTTTGGATCAGTGAAAAAAGTACTTTTAAAAAATGGTACTGGCACAATTAGTTTTCCATATGGAGAAATAGTAAATTGGACTCTCACGCTACACACACAAAAAATGAACTACAGATGGATTTGAAACATAAATATGAAAGGCAAAATTATAAAAATTTTAGAAGAAAAAATTAGGGAATATCTTAATGATCTCTGGGTGAAGAATTTCTAAAAGAAGGCAGGAAGTGGTATAAATCATAAAGGAAAAGACTGGTAAATCACAGTACATATAAATTAAGAACTTTAATTTACCAGAAAACACTATTAAGATAGTGAAAAGACAAGCCATCAACATAACCAATCAAAGATTAATACTGGATTATAAAGAGAACTCCAAGAATCTATAAGCCACAGAAAAATAAACCAATAGAAATATAGGCCAGAAACTAGAATAAGCACTTCTCAAAAGAGAAACCTCAACCAGGCAATAGTTGAAATAAAAGATGCTCAACCTCATTAGTAATCAGGGAAATAAAAGTTTAAATCACAATAATTTTATTATAAAAATAAAAAGTCTGGAAAATACCAAGTGTTGGTAAACATATGGAAGAAGTAGAACACTCATCCATGGCTTGTTGGAGTATACATTTATGTGAGCACTTTGGGAAAGGATTCGGTATTACATAGCAGAATTGAACATGTGTAAATCTCAGGACCCAGAAATTCTACTTCGGGAGGTATATACCTTAGAGAAACTGTAGCACATGTATATCATTCCATCAACATTGTTCCGTCATCATATCTAACCACAGTAGAATGGATAAAGAAACCATGGTATATTCAAGCAATGGAATATTATATAGCAGTATAAGTAAACTGAAACTACATGTACCAACATATACGAATCTCAAAAACATACTGCTGAGTGAAAAAAAAAGCAAATCATAGAAGCATACATACAAACAGCTAGGTTCCATTTATTCAAAAGTTCTAAAACAAGAAAAGCTGAACAGTATATTGTTTAAGGATGTATTTAGTTAGTAAAACTATAAAGAAAAACAAGGCAGTGATTATCCCCAATTTTGAGATAGCAGTTACATCTGATGGGGGAGAGAAGAGGGTTCACTGAGGGTTCACAGCAGGGAGATGTGGTTAGAGAGGGCCTCACAGAGGGCTTTAATATATTGGAAATAAATGTTCGTTTTTTTAACTTAGGTAGTGAGTACATAGATATTCATTCCTTAAAGTTATTCTTTAAATTACCTATGTGTTTTATATACCCTTTTGTGTGTGCTGTTTTAGAGAAGGAAAATATTCACTGCCTGCAAGTAAACATACAACTCTAGCTAATCAATCATACTAGGAGACAATCGGCTCCCTTGTTTTGAGCACTCTGACTCTGTTTTATGAACTGAGGTGTACACTTATACCATTAAATTTTCTTTTATTCTATTTGGCCATTCTTTTCATTTGTCCTATGTAGCCAAGTTCTCCCCAGAGCCAGATCAACCTCTTTGACTGATCATCCACCAGATACAGAAATTTCTGAGCTAGCCAGGCTTGAGATCCAAATTGCAGCTGGCAGATGTGGCAGCTCTTCTGAAAGCCCATCTTAAAGCAGCTTCCTTAACATGCTCACTTCCTACTCTGCTTCTGAGATTATGTTTTATAGTCCAGTCTAACCTCTTTCATGTGAGGAACCTTAGCAGATGCCATATCAAGGAAGGCAATGTCTCACATTAGGTCCTGTTGATAAAATGAGAAATCATATTCTCACTCAAGAAGATTGCTATTTCCTGAAGGAATAAATCCCCACCAGGGAAAACCCCTGTGGTTCTCAAGTTTGGGCTAGTCTCCTGAAGCTGATAACATAGTTCCGTCCAGAGGAGGAGGGCCGAATGCACTTCTTTATTCCTGAAAGCTTTGTGGGTAGATGTATATCTTTCACATCTCAAGACTCACAGACCCTGAGCTGAACAAAGGTCCCAACCTGGAAGAACCTCTCCAGAATCCAGGTTGCTGAATCTTTCCTGCTACCTAGAGAGATTTCAAGTCACCTCTTGACAATGGGAAACTGGGTGGTTAACCCCTGGCTCTCAGTTTTGGTTCTGGTAAGTGATGCTTTACTGCCTATTAATTACTTATAACAGATTAAGGAGACATCATATTAATATTTTTAAAGTTATTTGAAAGGGAAAGATTCCATGCCAATATTGAGTTCATCAAGGCCGGTTATCAGTTAAAAAGTCCGACTCTAGGACTTTTAAAATATATTTTATATACTCTTCTGTGTATAATATGTTTCACCATTTTAGAAAAGGAAAAAAAAATCCAACTCTAGAAATTGATTGGTAAAGAGACAAATAATATCCAATTGTCCATGTTGTCGAGCCACAAGTATTTGAAATTTCAATGTGAAAATATTTCTGTCTTCTCTTTTTCTCTTCCATCTCACTTCTAACTACTACCATGTAGCATTCATTTCTCTCCATCCTTCCTCTACTGTTCTTATCAAGATTTCATAAAATCACTGAACATTTGAGTTAGAAGTGATCTTAGAGGTTATCTGGCCCGGCGCTGTCCACTAGAAATATAATGTGAGCCATATATGTGATTTAAAAATTTTCTAATACTTACATTGAAAAAGGTAAAAAAAAATAGGTGAAATTAATGTCTAGTAATATATTTGTTTAACCCGATATATCAAAAATGTAATCCTTTTAACATATAATCAATATTGAAAATATTAATGAAATAATTTATATTATTTTATTTTTACTGTCTTTGAAATCTGATGTGCATTTTACACTTACAGCACAGCTCAGTCAGGACGAGCCACATTTCAATTGCTCAGTAGTTGCATGTGGGTAGTGGTTATGGCATTGAATAGTGTGGATATAAAGTAACTCCTTGATTTTCCAGGAGAAAATAAGACACAGATGTCACACAGCGAATTGATTGCAGAGCCATCACTCAATCCCAGCTCCCCAGTGTTCAGGCCAGAACTCCTTTACCACATTACATATACACAATCTCTTCCTCCTAGCATGCACACGTGCACGCGTGCACACATACACAGACATACAGACACAGACACACACACACACACACACACACACACACACAAACACACACACACACACACACACACTCCTTTCTCCACTCCCTTTATTCCATTTCTGAGCCACCCCTGAGCCTGGGACTCCAAGTCCTTTCTCACTTTCCTCAGTCTTCATGTTATTGCTTCTTCTGGGATTCTCTCTTTTTTCCTGTTGTTCCTTTAGGTCCCATAAGGCTGCCACGTGCTCCAGGGAATAGGGCGTTAAGAGCAATCACATTCCCCTGGAGGGCTGTTTGTTCTTCACTTAACAAGAGACCAAGTCTTTGTTTGGGCAGGTTATCCTATAACGTATTTTCAATGTTTCAATGCCCTACGTTTACTTTTGCACTAGTTTAGGAAATAGTGTACCTGGGAATTAGTTTTGGCTCTGCTATTAATCGAGTGAACTTGATCAAATTATTTATCCTCTCTAGACTTCAAGTCACCCGTGTGTGTGAAGAGGGTGGGGGGGGGTGATTAATGAAGTGACTAGATTAGATATAAATATAAGGGTGTTTCTAGCTTTAGAATCATCTGTGCTTTTTAATCCTCTTATTTTTTACTCAGAGAGTTTATCGCCCATGGTGGTGACTCACATTTAACTATCTAGCTTTGAATTTCCATCCCTCACCAATCTTGCTGGCAGGCTCAGACTTCTTGCTATCTCTGACAATATACTTCTGTGCACCATTTTTTAAATGAAAAAAAAATTACTCAAAAAATATTTTTACTCCACTTTCCTGCAGGTCTTCTACTCCACTTGCTTTTCCATTCATAGTGGAGAAAATGATAGGCAAGGTGGGAAATAGAACTTACTGCAAGATGTCACTGTATTTCATCATTTGCTTTGCCTACATTTGATTTTGGGCTGACAGAGTTCCTTGCCTTTGTCCCTCTTGGATCCTTAAATAGTTCTGCTCCTTCTAAATAAGTTTCTCTCCTCTATTTTTTGAATCTTGGGGTATCTATGGCTTTCATCTCTTTTTCCATTAGAGTCAAAGAATCTCTGGAAGACACTCATCTATAGAAAGGCTCTCTAAGGATGCCGGAAAAAATTAATTGGTAAAGCCAGTCTGGTAATGATGCAACTTCTGTGGCCAGCATTCACTGAGCTCTTACTGTGCATTGCATTAATTACTTCACATGCATTATTTCATGTAAGCTTCATAGCAGTGCTGTCAGGTAGCTATTGTTGTTATTCTCACTTTATAGACAAAGAAATTGAGGTTCAGAGAAGTTAAATCAAATATCTAAGATTACAGAGCTAGAAAGTGGTGGAGCTAGAATTTGAGCCCAGGGCGTTTGATTCCAATATCACACTTTAAATCACTATGCCATTCTGCTAGAGGTATGTGAGTGGTCCTGATTTAGTGAGTCTGAATGGGCAATGTCCTTGGCTAAAGGCCCTTTACCTGTGGGCTCATATTGCTCTGATCCATCCTGGAGCCAGGGATATGTATTAGAGGTATCCCAGTGCCCTAGAGTGCTGCCCAATTACAGACTAGAACCTCCAAAGCTCGAGCAAGAGCCCAATTGGTTGGTCTCCAGGGCAGTGAGCAGTGAGTTCCAAATATCTCCCCTTTGCCAATGCAGAGACAGAGCTTGGAATAGACAAAAACAGCCTTAAGAGCTCAAATGAGTGTAAAGCAATGATAGGTTTATTTGAAAAGAGACTCCCAATCTAAAAACAGGAAAATGTGTGTCAGGATGTAATTAAAGAGGCAGGCCCATCTGGAATGGTTTAGTCCTTTTCAGATAAGCATTCTTACAGCTGTTAAATTTGTTCTTTGTTTCTTTAGAAATCCATTATTCGCTGATTGCTGTCTTTTAGGTAATAGTTTAAATGCTGTCGTCCAGGAGTTGGCAAATGTTTTCTGTAACGGGCTGAGCAGTACACATTTCAGGCTTTGCAGGCCAGATGGTCTCCGTCACAACTACTCAACTCATTCATTGTATCATGAAAGCAGTCATAAATGTGAAGATAAGTGGATGTGGCTAAGTTCTAATATAGACACTGAAATTTGAATTTCATGTAATTTCCATGTAATAAAATATCATTCTTCTTTTGATTTTTTTCAACTATTGAAAAGTGTGAAAACAACAACAAAAGAGTAAAACCATACTTAGCTTATAGACTATACAAAACAGGCAGTGAGCCAGATTTTGCCCATCGACCTTGGTTTACTGACCCTGCTCATTAATATCTAATGCATGTGTTAAAGTGCTAAGTCACTCTGAAAGCTAGATACTAGCAGGATTGTATTCATTTAAAATGAAAACAGATGAACATAAAATAGCCAAATGACACTATTTTCTATCCCTTATCTCCTCTTGCCCATACCCAAATTTCACTTAATTCTGTGCTTATTTTTAATTCCTCTAGGCTACTTGGTTGGGGCTGAATGTTTTCTTGTTTGTGCATGCCTTCCTGTCATATGAGAGGGACGACAAATACTACTACACAAGAGAAATCCTGGGGGTGAGTAGCACAGTTGTAATGTGGGGAATCTCGGCATTTTTCTTATCTCTGACCCAAAGCCATGATTTCCTCAAGGGTTAGGGTTACCAGAAAAATTACAGGATGCCCAGTTAACTTTGAATTCCAGAAAATTAACAAATCATTTCTTTCGGTATAAGTATTTTCCAAATATTACATTGGTCATAAGTGTATTATAGTAAGTCCTCTGTTAATGTTGTCATTAATAGATTCTGCAACTTTAATCAAAAAGATATAATGAAACCAATTTTACCATAAGCTAATTGATATAAACAAGAGTAAAGTTCCTACGACATCTCATTAACATTATAACAAAATTACCTTGAATGAAACAACTTTATTCTAGGACTTTCTGTACTAAAAAAATTACAGGCTTACCCTGCTGTCTGAAAATAGAGTGTTCCTATGAAAACTTTTGTAAGCCTAAATGGCATAAAGCAGAGAAGTAATTACCATTAATTTATTGGAAAACTTTTTGAGCATTCCTAGATCCCCAAAATAACCTACCAAATCATACCAAAAACACTTAATTATGTCCAGTTTCATGCTAAGTGTAATGCCCTTATTATCTCTGATACCTTAGGGCATATCTTGCTAATGGATGCACAAAATCAATTGAGATAAAGCACATATGTTCCCAGACACAGTTCGAAGCTCTGACGACTCATTGCTGAGATGCTGGATGTGTCTCCAAGGACTGGACTTGGCAGGGCCACTCTCGCTGCTCTGGGCTCACACTACCTCTGTAAAAACTGCTGCAAAACAAACACTGAACGCTATTTTCACTTTCACCATTTTTTTTTCTTTGTAAAAGCAAAATCTTCTTTGGATTTTTATCGGTTAGTGAAAACAGGTACTAATGTGGGTCTTTTGTAAAAGTTAAGTGGTATAATGAGAACTTTTGAAAAGTGGGGGACACCTGTATTCCTTTTTTTAAATCTGATGTTCAGATTTAGCTGGGTGTCCTGTATTTTTGCTCACTAAATCTGGGAGCCCTATCTAGGGCACACTCCTCAGAGCCATTAATGAAAACATACAATAAAGAAAACTATTAAGCAGTGGTTTTCAAACTGGTTTCCACAGAAACTCAGGTGCTCCCACAGGGTGTAAGGGGAAGGCTAACTGGGCAGTGCTCCTGCCCTTGCCCCTAATTTAACCAAAACAGCCTTTATATGTCTTATGGACTCTTGCTTATGATTTTAATAGTTTGGTTAAAAATAAACAACTTAAAACCACTGCTGTGGGTGGCCTTCCATCAAAGAAGAGGGATACTTAGAGGGAGGGATGTGGGGTGAGTGTGGCTGCAGAACTCAAGGTTTGCAGAAAGGTGGGGTCAGGTCAAAGTAATAGGATGAAGAAAGCTGGGAAAGTGGCAGATTAAGAACAGAAGATGTGGTACATATATAACAGAGAATACTACTCAGCCATAAAAGATGAAATATTGCCATTTACGACAACATGGATGAATCTTAAGAGTATCATGTTAAGTGAAACAAGTCAGATGGAAAAGGACAAGAACTGTATGATTCCACTCATATGTGGGTTATAAAACAAAAAGCAACAAAAGAACAAACAAATGAACAAACAAAAAAACTCACAGATACAGATGACAGAATGATGGTTACCAGAGAGGAAGGGATGTAGGGGCAGGACAAAGAAGGCAAAGGGGTCAAATACATGGTGACGAAAGGAGACTAGACTTTGGGTGGTGAGCATAAAATAGAGATGTCGTATTATAAAGTTGTACATCTGAAATTTATATAATGCCATTAACCACTGTTACCCCAGTAAACTTAATAATAAAAAAAGGAATAGAAGAGGAGGGGTGGGGCTGGGTTGGGCACATTGGTGTAGAAGTTTCCAGGAGGAAGCACAGAGGTGAAAATGGTTCTCTCACAGGCTCATCAAGTTGGCCACTACCTGATTAGAGAAGCAAATGTGACTACTAACTCTAGTCAGTTATTCAGTAACAGGTAAGGGATTTGATTAAATCACTTTCATCTTGATGGTGCCTTTTTCCATTAACTTTCCACAAAGAACCACCCAATGAACATACTTAAAGACAGTTTGTCCTTTTTAAAAATCCTTTTCTCTACATAATCAAAGGATTCATGTTGAGATCACAATTAATTTGAATGTTCTGCTCATGGCTCATTTCACCCTGCTGTTTTCCATTTTAAATGTTGGTTTTTGATCCTTCTTTGAAAACCATAACTCCAAAGAAAGTGTTAATTTGTTATAAAAATAGCTTTTTATTAAGCGAATGATGCAATAAATATGACTAGTTATTAAGAGCTGTATTACTCTATGACCATAAAGTCAGCAGCGGAAAAATGAATCATACTGATATCCTGTGGGCATTTCATTTTTAAAGATCCTCTCTGTTAAAAACATTAACTATAAATAATACTGCTTTCGATGAGATCAAAGGATTGAGAGGTGTATAAGTAAAATGTGAAAATCACCCTCCCATCCTACTCCCCAAAGATAACTACTGTTAATAGTTTCCTGTGTGTGTGTGTGTATATATAGACACACTGACATATGCTCACAAATGCATCAGACATGTGGGTTTTGTTTTGTTTTTAATGTAGGTACTATTCTTATTCATTTTTCCTGTATACAGTAAAATTTGCTCTTTTTGTTATACCCTTCTTGGAGTTTTGATAAACACATTCAATGGGACGCAGTTTTTTGTTGTTGTTATTTGTTTGTTTGTTTACAAAAAAGGGATCACATTGTAGATTTTGGCTGGAAATTTCTTCCTATACTTAGTGCATCTCAGATGTCTTTCCATGTGGGTATGTAACCAGTGATATGCTGGAACCAGTTCGTATCAGCTTGCAGTAGCCAGTTGTGTGTATCTCTTACCAAGCCTGGCATTCAATGACGTCAAGTTGGTATCTTGAAATCTGCCATGGTGGAAGTACTTCCATCATGTAAATTGGCAAATGCTGGAAATCAAGACCCCTGTCTCCCCCTGAAAGCTGAATGTTAAATATATACACCACCCCTACATCGCTGCATATAGCTCTTATCCTTTTAAGAGCATAGCAGTCCTAATGGCACTGATGTGCCACAAGTTATTTAATCATTTCATAGGAGATTTCTTAAATTCATGCTCCCTGTAGAAAAATGCAGTTAATTCACTATGAAGCAGAGCAAATGAGTAGCAGAGAATGGAGTTTAAATCCATAGTCAATGAAGCATTAATGACAGCAGCAGTTGAATTAGAATATCAGTATTGATGTTGAAAAATGAACATAAATTGGGATATTTCAATGTGCTGCACCGGGAAAAAAAAATTAGCTCTAAAAAGAATTCATCCTATACAAATGGCCTCCACAGAATGTGGAGCTGTGAAATTGTAGTCCTGTATTTTCAATTCACTTGCCAATTTTAGTCCTAAGAAACCTCTGTGACTCAAATAAGCAAGCTGTGGAAACCAATGTGGAAATGCAGGATCTTTGAGATGAGCAGAGAAAATTTACTTAGAAATGGAACAGGCTGTCTCTACCCAAAACAGTCAGAGTGTGACTCAGCAAAGGGAGAAACACAGGTCATGTGGAAGAGCAAGAAATGGAAAACAGTAGGGCAGCTTTTGTTCACTACACTGCCTGACATTGTAAGCCATTATGGACATGAGGTAGATCTTGTTCTGGCTTATTAAATCTATGTCATGTTGTCCCAGGTTTAGGTTATGGGAAAATAGTTTTTGTACCAAAAAGATTATTAGAAAAGAGGCTGAGAAATTGTAACTTGAACCCATGTTCTTCCTTTTAGCAAGTCATCGACAGGCACACATGTAAGGCTAGCCTGTCAGCTGAAGTGCTGCAATAATTGCCTGACTGCTGTGAGATTGTCATACTCCTGCAGTTTCAAGTACATGGAGCTGACTCAGAGACCAGTTGTATATATTTGAGTAGAGAAGTTGGATTTAGCTACTGTGGAGTTGAGCATATTCTGTCCAGCCTATATCTAATCAAGCCTGTTTCTGGGATAAATACTTCTTTGAAGCACTGATTCCTTGTCTCCTTTTCTAGCAGCTTCTACTGCTGGATCAGATTAATTTTGATGTCAGTTTGAAATTCTGTTCACAGAAGTTCTCCATTCTCAAATCTCTACCTAAGTTTAAAATATTTGCTCTAAGAGGTTCACTAGTTTTATCTAAGCTTTATTCAATTATTAAAGACATCTTAAATATAAATAAATATAAATGGTTGTGTTTGAATTGTTTTTTGTTACGTGCTTGTTACATGCTTATAATCACATTAGAAAATACAGAAAAGAGAAAAATAGTTATCATTTATAATTATACCTTTAAATATATATACTTCAAAGTAAAATAAAATAAAAATATCTATGATCCTCAAGATTGTTTTACAAATGACAAAGAATACAATCATAACTGAGTGCATTAAGCAAAAATCCTCGTTGCAAACTATTACATCCATAGACTGTGTTTATTAACATGGAATCATTAAATCCTGTTCTGTTTCATATTGATAAATGTATAGTCAAACATTTCCAAACCACTGTCACTGGAATTTCTCAATTCATTATTAAGTTCAGCAAATTTTTGGTCATTTGCAAACAGAGAGGAAGAAGCTGCATCCTACCAATTTCTAGGTCTCAGACAAGTGGAGTGGACTTGTGCTCCCCTGCTAGATGGTGAGACGAAGCAGCTGATTGTCTCTTCTCTCTTCTGCTCTAGTCGGCATTGGCCTGGGCCCGAGCCTCTGCTCGCTGCCTGAATTTTAACAGCATGCTGATCCTGCTTCCCGTGTGTCGAAATCTTCTGTCCTTTCTGAGGGGCACCTGCTCAGTGAGTTTCAAACACCCGTAGTTCAACTTTCACATTAAAGACAAAAGACCCTGGACTCCTCAGTTGGACAGCCCAACACCAAGGCCCTAGGAATAAAAGCCAGAGGTCTCCTTTGGTAGCCAAGGGTGTGGGCAAGAGTGGGTGGGTATTAGCATGCTCTGTGCAAGACATGTTGGTTATGGGTTAGTGAATTCCATAAAGCTGCCTTGAGACACCTGACCTCGATCACTTTACATTTGTAGTTTTACAGATGCCCCCTGAGAAAGCAACTGGATCACAACATCACCTTTCATAAGCTGGTGGCATATATGATCTGCCTGCACACAGGTAACTGAGGCTCCCAGACATTCAGAGTCTAATTTCATTCATTTATTCATGTAGACAGTCAAAAAATATTTATTTTACATCTGGAATTATTTACCAGGCACTGTTCTAGGCCTATTTTATGGAACTTACTTTCTATTCTTTTGAGAACACGTGAATGTGATAAAGATTTTGGATCTCTCTGCAATCAAGGTTTATTTGGAACCTTCTGTGGACTTGGCATTCTGCTAGACACTATGTATAAGATTCTCCTTTTCTAGTGGAGCATGCCTGTCATGATGTTCCTGAGACACCTCTCACATTCCTTTCCATCCTTCCATTTAGCTATTCACATAATTGCACACCTGTTTAACTTTGAACGATACAGCAGGAGCCGACAGGCCACAGATGAATCCCTTGCTTCTCTTCTCTCCAGCCTATCTCATCAAGAGAAAGAGAGGGATTCTTGGCTAAATCCTATTCAGTCCCCAAACATGGTGAGTTGACTCAGTGGGAAAGCATCTGTGTTCTGATCATGAACAGAAAAGGCATGGTATCTATTGTGGATATTGTGTCAGGCTGACATTTCTCCTTTCACAGACAGTGATGTATGTGACATTCACCAGCATTCCTGGTCTCACTGGAGTGATCATCACAATAGCTCTGGTTCTCATGGTGACTTCAGCTATGGAGTTTATCCGGAGGAGTTATTTTGAGGTCTTCTGGTATACGCATCATATTTTTATCATTTACTTCATCAGCTTAGGGATTCATGGCATTGGGTAAGTTTCCCAAGCTCCGTTCTCATACTCTAGCCCCTGACCTTGCATAATTCTTTGCCCCAAACTATTCTTCATCTTGTTAAGTGGAATTGTCCGGGGTCAAACGGAAGAGAGCATGAAGGAGAGTCATCCTCACAGCTGTGCAGAGTCTTTCAAGAAGTGGGATGATCATGACTCCCAGTGCGAACGTCCCCAATTTGAAGGGCACCCCGCTGAGGTAAAAACCCTATGAACAAGGATAGACTCTTGTTAGGGGCTGTTATTGTTATTCTTGTCATTATTACTTATTATCATTATCATTATTAGCTCAGCCGATATATCTACAAATTTCCTATCATCAAGGAACTCCAATATCAATGTCAACAAGTTAGGGAATTATCATTAGCAGAGGACTCTGAAGAGGAAGGATTGATGGTTAGTGCATGCAGTGAGACCCTCCCCGAAGGTAATAATGATAGCCCACGTTATTAATGGTGTTTACCATGAACCAGGTTTGCTGCATAGCATGGATTATCACATTTATACATAGCAATAACCTACAATGTAGGCACTTCTTTTGTCTCCATTTTGAGACAAAAGGACTAGGATTCAGAGAGATGAAGTAAACTGTCAAGCTATCACAGTAACTAATGGAGCTGGAATTCAAGCCTAGGCCTTTCACAATTCAAATATTGTGCTCTTGACCATTATGCTGTCGAAAACTTTGTTGTGAAAACCCACTCAATGTTTCTGAGGAAAAAAAAAAAAGCATTTTTTTTTTAGTTTATTAAAATATAACTGGCAAAATTGTATATATTTAAAGTATATAATGTCATGAATGATGTATGTATACTTTGTAAAATGATTACTGCAATGAGATTAATTAACGCACCCATCACTTCACATAGTTACTTTTTTTTCTGTGTGTGGTAAGAATGACTAATATCTACTTTCTTAGCAAATTTCAAGTATGCTACACAGTATTATTAACTATAGGCACCATACTATACATTAGATTCCTCAAACTTATTCATCTTATAACTGAAGGCTTGTACCCTTTTACCAGCATCTCCCTATTCTGACCACCCCCGCTCCACGTGCCCCTGGTTAACCACATTTCTACTCTGTTTCTACGAGTTCAGCTTGGTTGTTTTTTTGTTTGTTTGTTTCTTTTTTTTTTTTTATTGGAGTTGACATTCAATATTTTTTTGTATTAGTTTCAAGTAGACAGCACAGTGGTTAGACATTTATATAATTCATGAAGTGATCCCCCTCATTAGTCTAGTGCTCACCTGGCACTATACATAGTTATTACAATATTATTGGCCATATTCCCTGTGCTATACTTCACATCCTTGTGACTATTTTATACCTAACAATTTGTACTTCTTAATCCCTTCACTTTTTTGACCCAGCCTACAAACCCCCTCCCATCTGCCAACCATCAGTATCTATGAGCCTGTTTCTGTTTTGTTTGTTCATTTATTTTGTTCTTTAGAGTCTACATATAAGTGAGATCATGTGGTATTTGTCTTTCTCTGCCTGCCTTATTTCACTTAGCATAATCCCCTCTAGGTCCATCCGTGTTGTCACAAATGGTAAGATTTCGTTTTCTAATGGCTGAGTGATATTCCATTGTATATATGTACTACTTCTTTATCCAGTCGTCTATTGGTGGGCACTTAGGTTACTTCCATATCTTGGCTATTGTAAATAATACTGCAATGAACATAGGGGTACATAATATCTTTTGGAATTAGTATTGTGGATTTCTTCAGATAAATACCCAGAAGTGGAATTGCTGGGTCATAATGTAATTCTATTTTTAATTTTTTGAGGAACCTACAAACTGTTTTTCATAGTGACTGAACCAATTTGCAATACCACCAACAGTGCATGAGGGTTCCCTTTTCTCTACAACCTCACGGACACTTGATTGTTGTCAATTTTGTTTTAAAAAGCATTCTTAGGGAGACTTTCATTGAAGCTTAGATATTATTGTTAAATAGTGGATGATCAAGAAACTGGATTCCAGGGAACCCAAGGTGTGCCTCAGGGTAATTATGTAGATATTATGGCTTACTCGTGCTTGCTCATAAAATACGTTTAATTGAGGAATAAATAGAAGGAAAAAATTAACTTGTGGTGCCTCAAAGTGCTCTGAGGATGATTAAAGTCTTTAAATCAGGTGCAGAATAAAGAGCAATAGCAAATTTTAAGTATAGTATACAGTATTATCATTAGTCCTAATTTAGAAACGGAAAAATATCTTTAAAAAATCCTCTAAAGTTGGCATTTTATAACAATGGGAAAAGGACAGAGTATTTAATATATATTTTTTAGGATAATAGAATAACCATCTAAGAAAAAAACTGTACCTTTATTCCACACTTTACACTAAAATATGGATAAAGGATGCATGGATTAAGAATTTAAATGTTAAAAAAACAAATAAATCATAATACTACACTAATACCATAAGCACTCTAATACCACATGGGAAATGTTTTCTTCTAATACTGGAATATTAGTAAAACATGCTAATAAGATAAAAAAAAAAAAACTAGAAGCCAGAAAGGGGAAGATAATAAATTTGAATAAATATATATCCAATTTATTATTTTTATATATTCAAATTTATTATCCTTTATGTATACTATATATACACACACACAGTTTTGTGTGGCAAAAGAAAAAAACGCATCATAAATAAAGACAGGCAACAAATTACTAAGTAGGAAAATTATTTACAACCTACGGACCATTAACTAATTTTGTAAAACATAAACGACTCTTATAGATCAATAAGAAAAGGCCTAACAATCCAATAAAAAAGATATAGAAGATATGAACAGAATGATCACAGAAATGAAGATATATGTTAATCTTAAATTTATGAAATGATGCTTAATGTTATAATGCAAAAAAATGCAAAATAAAACTACATTAAGATACTTTTTTTTAACCAAACAGATTAGCAAAGATCCAAAAGTCTGCTCATGGGCTGTATTGGCAATGTTCTCATGCATTGCTGGTGAGAGTGTAAACCTATACAATTGCTTGTAAGGGTGATTTGGCAGTATTTATCAAACTTGCATATGTGTTACATGTATTAGTTTACAAGTATTAGTTTATTCATTGTAACGGCTTGATAGAACAAAAGACTGGAAATAAGTGTCCATCAATAGAGGACTAGTTAAATTATGAGACTTTCCTACAATGGAACACTCTGCAGCCAATAAAGAGAAAAAGGCAGCTCTGTAGGTACTAATATGGACCGGTCTCTAAGATTTTAAATGAAAAAAGGGCAGGGCAGTGTGTATTGTCTTCTACTATTTGTACTTAATGCAGTATTAGCACTTAAATACATATTCTCCAGAAGGATTCATGAAATAATAACATTGATTACCTTTGGGGAGATGGGGGACAGGGATGGAAGGAAGATTTGTACTTTTGAATTTTGTGCAATGTACATGTATTACCAATGTAAAAAATAATTTTAAAAGGACATGCCTGGAATATGTTAACAGTACATTTCATTTAGAATGTCAGAGTAACTTGTAAACTATAACCAAACAGCTTTTGTTCAACAAGAGGCCCTTAAAGACAGACACCTATAAAGCTTGATCAGCCCCTAGCTAAGGCAGTTAATTCCCTGTCTTACCTTGTACATCAATGTCTCTCTTTTTCCCATATGTTATCTGAGATAAGGTATATTGGGAAGTATTCTTAAAGGTTTACTTTAAGATATATTTGGAGGTATACCTAGTTGGAGGTATACTTAAAACTCAAGTGTTGCTTAGATTGGTCATTTAATACCTCAAGGGAGAGAACACCGATTTTGCCATCTATTTGAGTTTATTGGTTTGTTTCTTCCGTAAGCATTAAAAAACACTTTCTCCACATTCTCCCCATTTAAAATTATAAAAATAATTCATGTTTATTGTAGAAAGTTTAGAAAATGCAGAAAAACATTCAGAGGAAAATAAAAATTTCACAGAGTTCTACCACTTACAGGTAATAATTATTTTTCCTCTTCGTCTATATCATTGGATGCTTTCCTCTGTTGTCAAATATTCTTCTGAAACATGTTTTAGAAAGCTGTACGATATACCATTTTTCATATTTTTCTTTCTGCATGATCATTTTTAATGACCTTGTGGGCATTATGCTAAGTGAAATAAGTCAGAGAAAGACAAATATCATATGATCTCGCTTATATGTGGAATCTAAATTAAAAAAAAAAACCTGAGCTCATAGATACAGAAAAGAGATTGAAGGTTGCCAGATGCAGGGGATGGGTGGTAGTAGGTAAAATGGGTGAAAACGGTCAACAGGTACAGACTTCCAGTGATAAATAAATAAGTCCTGGGCATGTAATGCACAGCATGGTGACTAGTTAATAATACTGTATTGCATGTTTGAAAGTTGCTAAAAGAGTAGATCTTAAAAGTCCTCATCATAAGAAAAAAAAATTTTGTAATTATGTAAGGTAACAGATGTTAACTAGACTTATTGTGGTGATGATCATTTTGCAATATGTACAAATATCAAACCAATATGTTGTACACCTAAAACTAATGTTATATGTCAATTATATCTTTATTCAAAAAAAATTAAATTAAAATTTTTAGGAAGTGTTTGGAATTGACAAAAAAAATATATGATATACCATTTTGTCATTGTTTTCTTAATAAAAATAATGTGGCCATGACTATACTTCCAAACTTTGTGTATACCTTAATTATTTCTTTATGCTCCATTTCCTAGAAGTGAAATTCCTGAGTAACAGAAACAATGCTTTCCAGGCTGTAGAGATGTATTGCCAAATTGCTCCCTGGAAAGTTGCTACTAATTTGCACTTTCACCAGCTGCACATGTGAATATGTCCATTTCCTTGCATCCCAGTTAATGGTGTTTAAAGTTGTTTTTCAATTTGAGAGGCTCAAATGCTATTTAGCTTTAATATTCATTTCTCTGATTACTTTTGAGGCCAAAATTTTTTTTTCTACATTGTTATTAGCCATTTCTTAAATAAGATTTTTTCATGTCATCTGAATTCAGCTGGAGATTTTTCCAAACAAGAAGTAGCATCAAATTGTATAATGCCCATTCTCAGGTTTGCCAGCCCCATCTCTGCCCTTGGGTATTCTCCCCAGAGATACCCAAGGAAATTATTTACCTGAAACAGCATAAGAAACCTCATTCCACACAGTTCTGATATATCACACTTGAACAATTGTGCAAGAAATGACATGATTTAGCATTGCTAGAAAATACATTTTTAGAAGATCCTATGCATATGGAAGCAACTTGCTACCTTTAAAAAGGGATAGAAAGGCTGCTTTTTAAAAAAATGTACACAAGATAAAAAGCATATTACTATGTTAGGTGTTTGGAGCATCTGAGAAAAGAAGTGATGTATCGATAAGTACCAAGTTTTACATATTGTCACCAATAGTTTCAGCTACATACTTTTCCTTTTGTGTTAGTTTGTTTTGTTACTAATCATCTGCTTCTATTTCACACCTACAATCTTTTGTTTTTTTTAGATTGGACAAGTTGTCCTGGAAAACAGTCTTAGATTCTTAAAATTATATACATATTTACCATGTACTTTATTTTTGTGCTTTTCTTTTGCTTCCTGGTGAGACCTGTAAAATTTCAGGAAGTGATCTGCTTTGTGAGTAACAGATTAGCAAACAAAACTCTTGTAGTTTATTCCTTTCCATTTCCATCCTCAAGATTTGGTGAAATTAGTGCCTATATGTGTATTATTGATACACATCAGAGAACTCAACAAATATTTATTGAATAAAGGAATGAACTGCTACAACAATAAATCCTAAACAAGAGATTAATGTGTAACTTCATTCTTTGCTCTGTTTCTGTGCAGTCTTGGAAGTGGATCCTTGCACCAGGTATTCTTTATATCTTTGAAAGGATCCTTCGATTTTATCGCTCCCAGCAGCGGGTTGTGATTACCAAGGTAAAGCATATGCAATTTCATTTTGCCATGATAAGAGTTCTGTTCTTCTTATTTATAGAAATAAAGGGCCATGTTGTCACCCTGAAGGGAATTAAAAAAAGAACTTGGGGGTAACATACTTCATTTCCTCCAGTGCTGGACAGAACTGTGGGAAAAGGAGTTTGGCAAAAATCGTCGGCATGGATCTATGTCAGAGACTGCAAACTGGTGTCCTGCACCAAATCTAGCCCACAGACATATTTTGTTTGGCCCACACACTGATTGTTTAGAAAGTCGAATTGGTTGCTAACATTTAAAAATCTGGATGGAGGCTTTCACTTTAAAAATAGCATTTCTAGCTTCTCTTGAAGAATCGGGTAACCTGTTAACACTGAGTCTCGGTCCTGTAGTGCAACCATTGTCTAGACTAAGTAACTGCTGCCCCCTTTAGAGAGGATGTGCTCACGGTTCACCATTGTCACCAGCTCTCCAGCTTTACTCATTTACTTTATCTACCTGTCCCTGTCGCCATTTGAAATTGCCTCCTTTGGTCTCTGTGCCTCATTCATAGGTTGTCATGCACCCATCCAAAGTTTTGGAATTGCAGATGAACAAGAGTGGCTTCAGCATGGAAGTGGGACAGTATATTTTTATTAATTGCCCCTCAATCTCTTACCTGGAGTGGCATCCCTTTACTCTGACCTCTGCTCCAGAGGAAGACTTCTTCTCCGTTCATATCCGAGCGGTGGGAGACTGGACGGAAAATCTTGTAAAGGCTTTTGAACAACGACATTCACCGATTCCCAGGTAGGTCCTGGAGAGCAGCAGAGACCCAGACCAGAATGCAGACAAGCAAAAAAGAAAAAGCAATTAATTCCCTGTTGAAACTTAAGTCTGGCACAATAGAATGCGATTAAAATAAATGGCCAAAATCAGCCATGGGAACCGCTGTGTCTCTGGGAGGATATGCAAGGTTAGGGGTGGAGGTGAGACTTCACTTGCCTGTTATCTTCTGTCTTCTGCCAGAATTGAGGTGGATGGTCCCTTTGGCACTGTCAGTGAGGATGTTTTCCAGTATGAAGTGGCTGTGCTGGTCGGAGCAGGAATTGGGGTCACCCCCTTTGCTTCCATTTTGAAGTCCATCTGGTACAAATTCCGGCATGCAGATAAGAACCTCAGAACACAAACGGTACATCCCCTCATAGCACTTTTCATCTAGTCTGGGTCTGACAGGTCCATTGCTTTCATGGACTAAGCTCTTCACATTTGATAAAAAGTAAGGCCTCCCTGGAGTTATGAGAGCAAGTGGCATGAGATCACTTTTCTCTGCCACGGCATCTGCTTCTGCAGATTGACCGTAACAACAGGGTCTTCATTTTCAATTTGGTGTTTAAAATCACCTTGAACCAAAGATGGCCCTGGAGGTCTCTTCCCATAAGGGAAATTGTCAGGACTCTGGACATTCATGCTGCCTAAGTTCTGCTGTTCTGTAGAGGTGATTTTTCAGGTCACCCTACACTTGACCAACAAAGATAGAGTATATCTATTGAGTCATGTCACCACAGTGTACATTGTAAAGGGCACTTAATAAGTCTATGTTCTCTCTTGTTGATTCCAGATCTATTTCTACTGGATCTGCCGGGAGACAGGTGCCTTTGCCTGGTTCAATGACCTATTGGCTTCCCTGGAACAGGAGATGGAAGAATTAGGCAAAGTGGGTTTTCTAAACTACCGTCTCTTCCTCACTGGATGGGATAGCAACATTGTGAGTTCAAACAACACACTAATTCCCGTGTTGGATGCAAGCTGAATATCAGACAAAAGATAGTGAATGCTGATTGTAAATAATTATTTCTGGTGATTTTCTATCTGCCCTCATCATCACATCCAAGTTTAAGAATGCCTGAAGGAAGAGACAGCTTTCAGGACCTGCTTTTTCTAATTTTTATTTTTCTGACTCCAGGCTGGTCATGCAGCATTAAACTTTGACAAAGCCACTGACATCCTGACAGGTCTGAGACATAAAACCTTCTTTGGGAGACCTGTATGGGAAAATGAGTTTTCTACAATAGCTACCACCCACCCCAAGTAAGTGTATTCCCCTATTGTTAGTTGAGTTTGCAGAATTAGAGTTTAGGAAAGGTATTATGGCATGTTGAACACTCTTGGGAGAAAGATCTCTGGGGCCAAAATTTTTGCACTATTCTTAGATTCTTGCTTAAAACAGAGGAAACTCCATCTGGGGTTTTAGACAATAAGGGTCACGATCTTATTATTGATGAGAAGACGTTTGCTGCCTCGACAAGCCCCCATTCAAATAGTGAGGCAAAGAGACTCGGTTATGATCTGTATTACCAAACAAAATGGAGAACTGGAACGATTCAAATGCATTGCTTTTGGCTTTAGTGACCTCTATTTAAAGTAGGAAGTGTTTGGACTGTATTATCTAGTTAACTGACCTTGGTCTTTCTGGAGGGTTTTTGAGACATGCTAGAGCATACAGAAAAAACCTGGTGCCATGAGATCAGCCATTCTGATGGGAATAAGATTAAGCTGATTGTGTTAGATAAATTCTAGGGACAATTTTGCAGGTGATCAACTGAATTCCACAAACATTATTGGTAACTTTCTATAAGTTCAGCACTCACTATTCTAGAAGCTTTGGAGGTTGAAAGAGAAATAGAACATGGTTCTTGCTTTCAAGGAGCACACATTTTAATAAGAGATGCATACAATCAACTCAAAGCAGAATGATGCACTCCATGAGACAGGCACATGGACATTGAGGGAAGGAAAGTCTAAGCCCACTTGGGGTGATCAAGAAAGGCTCCATGAAGCCAGTGGTCACTTAGTGACGTGGCTTCAGATGATCCTGGGTACTAATGCTAGTTCTGACATTTTCCAGTTATGGGACCTTGAGCTAGAAAACCCTCTGATCCTCAGATTTCTCATCTGTGAAATGGGGATTATGTTAGTAGATGCCTGCTCTCTCACTTGCAGGATTGTTGTGAATATTAAGTGAGACAATATATAAAAATGCTCCGTAAAGCCTAAAGCAGCATATAAGCAAAATAGATTATTTCAATTTGTCAATAGTTGGTTATGTGAATAGATGAGATTGCTAGGAGAGAGGAAGAGTGACAGAGGACAGAGTGTTAAGGAATGTTTACATTATGTAAGAAGGGAGAAAGATGAATCAGGGAAGATGGAGGAGAATGTGGAGAAGTGGTATCACAGAAGCCAAGAGAGGAAAGATTAGAGAAGTGTGGTCAACAGTTTTGGAGGAGTGGCAGGGTCCAAGGAATGCCTTTTTATCATAAGGATGATCTCAGCATATTTGTAGACAGAACAGGAGCCAGTAGAGAGGAATAAAATAAATATACAAAGTGGGGAGGGGACTAGGATGGCTATAATAAAAGACAGGCAGTAATATGAGCTGGCAAGAAAGTGGAGAAATTGTAGGAGGGTTCCTCCTACACTGCGTTGGAATGTGAAGTGGTGGAGAACTTGAGGAAAACTCTGGCATTTCCTCAAAATGTTAAACATAGAGTTACCACATGACCCAGCAATTTCACTCCTAAGTATATTCCCAAGAGAAATAAAACATATGTCCACACAAAAACTTGTACATGAATGTACCTAGAATAGCCCCAAAGTGGAAACAACCCAAGTGCCCATCAATAAATGAATGGATAAGCAAAATGTGGTATACGCACACAATGGAATACTATTCAGCTATAAAAAAGGAATGGAATACTGATACATGCTGCAACATGGATAAACCTTGAAGACAGTATGGTAAGTGCAAGAAACCAGATGCAAAAGGCCACATATTGTACAATTCTGCTTATATGAAATGTTTAGAATAGGCAAATCTCGAGAAAGCAAGCAGATTTGATTGTCTAGGGCTAGGGCTGGGCAGTTGGGAAGAAATGGGCAATGACTGCTAATGTGCATGGGTTTTTCTTTTTGGGATGATAAAAATGTTCTTGAATTAGATAGTGGGGATGGTTGCACAACTTTGTGACTATACTCAAAGCACTAACCGCACACTTTAAAAGGATGAATGTTCTGATATATGAATTACCTCAATTAAGTAAAAATAAGGGGAGAAGGTATGAGAGAAGGAAGATGAGGTTGAGATCCAGAGAGATTATCCTCCACTACTTCTTCAGTGTGAGAAATTTGAAGTGGGGATAAGTACACAATGGATGGATTTAATGGCAGCTAACACATATGAACTTAACTTTGTGCCAGGCATTTTTCTAATCGCTTTACATGTTTGTCATTAAACTTCAAAATAATCCTATGAGGTGGGTACTATTTTTATGCCCATTTTATGTTAGCGGGGTGGGGCGGAGGGACTGACACACAGAGAGGTTAAGAAACTTCCTATCGTTATACAGCTGGAACAATTGTCAGCTGGGATTTGAACACAGGCAGCCTGGCTCTCTAGAGTCTAGCTAGCACTTAACCATCTCAAGGCACTACATCTCCTGAGTGTCTGTTCTCAGTAGAATAATCAAGGCTGAGTGCTGAAGAGTGATAAGGACTGGGAGCACATTGGAGGCTTGCAAACAGAAGCCTGTGAGAGGGGAGTCAACAACTGAATTTTTATGCAGGGTTGTTGGGAGTAGTAGAGGCCTCACAGAGGCTATTGCTCTTGTCTGTCTTTGCTGCTTTCTAACCCTGACTATTCTATTTTTGCAGGTCTGCGGTGGGAGTCTTCTTATGTGGTCCTCAGACTCTGGCAAAGAGCCTGCGCAAATGCTGTCACCAATTCTCCAGTTTAGATCCTAGGAAGGTTCAATTCTACTTCAACAAAGAAAATTTTTGACTTATAGGAATAAGGACAATAACCTGCATTTAATCTCTTTTGTATCTTCAACAACTTACTTGGTCTGGTCAGATTTGGACAGCCATTTAAGGACAATAATGTGCCTCTCAAGCCTTCACTGGACCCTAGCATTTTTTTGGTTGGATTCAACTTTGTTATCACTGAGCTTCAAGAACCTAAGAACTTCAGAAACCACAATAATTGCATGGAGCCTTTCTTGGGAAAATAAGTGTAAATCATTCTGGAATGCCATGACTATAGTAAGGCCCGACAGCAGAGGTAGTTAACGATTTAACCCAGGGTGATTTTGTTGACTCCAAGTGTTACTGTCTCCTGAACTTTGGGTCATATTCTCCCCTCCCTCCCACCCTCAAAGAAGATTTCTAAGTAGTGATTTTTTAAATAAAATTTTATTTAAGAATTAATGACAAAACATAATAAGCATAAATAATAAAGCAAAGTTACCAAGAACCCCATCACTATATTACAGTATATACATTCTTACTGTTATTTTACACATGGTCTTATCCAGTGTGAACAGCAATTTATGCTTTACTTATTTTTCCTTGTCAAAAAATGAAGGATTTTCTTCTTTGCTTAATGAATAAATCTTTTGTTACTTTATCTAGGCTCTCCATTTGGGAAAGAAATCTTGAATGTATGCTAATTGTCATTGTATAATTAAAAGTCAGCTATGTTGTCATTAGCTTGCATTGCTCTGCTGGAAATAATTGTAAAAACTTGAACTCCATCTTAGGATGACTTATTTAGTCAACAGGGGTTCTTTAGTGCCATTTTTATTAAGGGAGTTTATTAGTGTCTAGTTTAAAAAAAGATAATTTAGAATTTTGATAACATTTTTTGACTCCTACCTACTTATTCATTAGGGAATCATTCACCTAATAACATAAGCAAAATGCCTTTTCTTTCTCTTGTCAAAATGCTTATTTCTCCCATCCATCTGGCTCTAGGATGTTAGTAGTCACAGTGAATCAGTAGAAGACCAGGTCTCTTAAAAGAGGGGAAAAAAATCCGGACTTCATTGTGCCCAGACAATTCAACTCATTAGATTTATAAGAATATTTCTACAATTGGAATTATAGCACCTATTTCTCTACCATTAAGTGACCAAAAACGAATAAATGGTTGTTTCTAATTATCCAGAAACCTATATGACTTGAAGGATTCGTATGATTGATTTTTTTTCAGTCACTCGTTTGAACTAAATAAAGGTAGGTCAGGGATTCATGGTAGTGAATTGAATTTCATTTACTAATTGTACGTCAATAAAATATACTAATGGAGGTTTCCATAGGAATAGATTGGGATACCCCTCCTGTTGCCAATTTCCTGGATTTCAGCTGTCTAAATTAAATTTAATAAGGCTTTAGAAAAATGCACAATGGAACCTTGACAATATGGTTCCTATTAGACAACTGCTGACCAAATGATAATTTGATCTTCAGTGACTTTGATTTGGAATCTTGGTGTTCCTTGAAACTTATAATGAGCTCTTAATGAGAAAGGCTTCACTCTTGGTCTCAGTGTCTAAATATATTGACGCTTCAAGATATGACTACTAAAATCAACATAGTAAGGCCTAGAATATTCATGGAAGTAGGCAGAAAAGGCAATGATAATAATAAATCCTACACATAATCAACATCCAAGCCCAAAAAAGGGATGTGCAGGATACTTAGAAAGCTCCTCAGCTATTTTGAGCAAGTTTTTCTTCCTAGGTTGTAATATGAAGTACCTTATTCAGCAAATTATTGTTGTAGTAAATATTTATATATCAGAGTAGAAAATCCCTCAATTTCAGTGTCTCTCATAAAGTTGATTATCATTACATTCTTTTGCTTGACATGTAAGCAATATGCTATTACATTCTCTAAGACTATGGTAGGCTTTTAATTCACTTGACCATAATCCTAGCCTGGGGGCAGAATTCTGAGAATATAAATAGGCTCGAGTAGTTCCAGTGGAACTTTATTATTAAGGCACCTCATAACCTCTTGAGGTTAGCCTGATGGAGAGACATCATGTCCCTCCTTAATGCCACTATGAGAGAAAGAACACTAGGCCAGAAGAGCCATAGTTAGAGCTAGGGCACTAATTATGTTCATATCTATCTGCAAGGAGGGAGGCAGGGGAGGGCCTAATGGGCAATCTGACTACTTGTGCTCCACATTCGGTCCTCTTAAAATTAATAAGAATGTAAAAGTTCTAGGGTTTTCTATGTTTTAATTTCCCATAATAAATTTGGTTATAGGATAGCACTATAGGTTAGTGATTATCTAGAAGGTAGGATGGAATGTATTTTGTTCATTTGATTTCTGTTCAGTTTTTATTTCATCTTGAATATATGAAAAATTCGTGTTTTTTTAACCCTTAAGGTTGACTACCCAGACTGTAGAGGGCTTTTTGGTATCCAGGATTTTCTTATCAAATAAATATATGCATTAGAACAGACAAGTAAATGTTAACAGTCTCTTGTGTTGTTGACATCCTCAAACCAGTAGCTTATACAACATCTTTGTCTTAACTCTGAACTATGCATGTGAATAGACTGCTGTTGACAAAAAAAAAAAGCGTTTTGATATTTGGATTTTTCTAAACTAAATACGCTGCTCTGCTAGGTTTTTTGCTCTGTTGGCCTTCTGACCATTTTATAGCTCTAAGCATGTACTGTTTTCCCCCAGTAGACTGAG